TTATTGTGATTTACAAGCACGTTACATAAACTGTGTCTGCAGAGAAATATGAGTCTCTAACAAATATGTGCTTTTTACAAAGACAAAAGCACTCTATTGTAGGTATGTGAGGTGTGGTGATATGTTTCAGTAAAATTCCACCTTAGCGTCATCCTCAACACACACATGCACACATGCATGCAGCGGCTTTCTTTGACTTTTAAATGAACAGTCAAACAGAATCCAGCCATGTGTATCACAGATATGATCCATGTGTCTGTGGTAGATACATTTACTGAGAACAACAAGTGTTATCAGTTCATCAGTAGCTAAGTTAGTTGCAGCTTTTTTTTTTTGGACTAAATTAAATTAGAGATACCAGAATGAAACTTAAAAACACTGAACAACAAAGGACATGAGGTTTTAGGAACGAGCAAAGCCGCCAAGTCCGGGGTAATGAGCAACAAGCTGATGCCTTCATTTTATTCACAAAACAAGCCGTACTACTACCACTGACAGGATTGGGTGTCCTCTCACTCGCTGCTTTTGTATCTGCAGCGATCGTTAGAGAAACCTAATCAGACATTTTTAATTAAAGAGGCCAGAGTGTTTGTGCCGAAGGAGGATAAAGAGGAGGAAGATGATTACGAGGTGAAGGGAGGAGGGGGTGGCAGCGGCTGAGGGTGGATGAGGGGGAAGAGGTCGAGTCTGCCTGCTGAAAGCCACTTAAATCCCTTTCTTATTAACTCACTGTGACACATGATCTTCCTCCATCCCCCTCACACACACACACACACACACACACACACACACACACACACACACACACACACACACTCACACACAGCACACACACACACACACACACACACACACACACACTCACAGGGCTACAAACCTGCTCTTCTTACTTCTTACTGCTTCCTTGCATCAGCTTTGGCCTTGATGTCATTGCTCACCGAACCACGATGGATCGGTCTGTGTTTACGTGCTTCGTTCAAAACAGGTATTACGCTGACATTTTCTTATGCAAATGAGATCTACCCTTTAGGTGAAGAACCCGGGGTAACTAAATGTAATTAATCAGCCTGGAAAAGGTAACATTTCTTAGGATGGTGATGAAAAGTCTGTCTCGCTCTGCTTCATGCAGATGTAGCTGTTGTTGTTTGACTGCATGAAATGGAGCCATATAAACCATCCAGAAATCAAACCATGGAATAATCATGCTGCATTTTCTTTACGTTGGATTAGCTCAGTAGCAGCAGTAGCAACCAAAGGCATGTAGAGGCACTGTCCCAATCCATCAACTCAACCTTTATCTTTTACACCTATTACACTGAAGTGCAGACATGTCTACACACTGCGGTTCCTAGCATGGGAAAGGGTGAGCTGATTGGCTGCTCACCATGTTGTGCATTCAAAGATGCTCTTCTGCATACATGCTTGTAACTCTGTCGCCTTTCTATCAGCTTAAAGCAGCCATTCTCCCATGAAGGTACCCGTTAAAACCACGGTATGTTGAGGCCTGATGGACGTGGGTTTACAGCAGCAAGTTCTGAGTACCTGTCTACATGTTTATACATAAATGCATTGGTTTTTACTATGTATCTGGCTGATTATATATTTGTATTAAAGAGAAGTTGAACAGATGTACCTAATGAAGTGAGTTGAAGCAGCTTTTGCCGTGCTTAAAATTCCCATTGAAGCCATATTTAAACATTTACCCTCGTTCCCACTTTAGCTTTTTTAGCAGACATCACTCGGGTTCATCTGCAAATGCTGAATGCAGCCATTTTTATTCTCTGTTTCAGTAGCAATGCAGTTCATGGAGTCCCACAGCTTTTCCACTCATACTGGAAAACCTCATTAAAAACAAAAAGACTGTGTTTTTTGTGCATTCACCCCAACTCTAATATTTGTGTGCCTGAACACAGGTTTAGGAGCTTCTTTGTTTGTTGAGAAAAATGCAAAGGGATCTGAGAAATCAGTTGCTAAAGTGAAACATTTTCCACAGAGGCATGTGTCATCTTCTGTGGGTCCAAGAGTGAGTGACAGTTAGTCCCAAAGTACCGAAGGAAAACATGAGTATCTCCATCCACAGAGACTGTGTTTTATTTATTAAAGAGAAGAAAAGAACCCACTTCCACACTAAGTGCGATGAGTAGTTTTCAGACAGTCTGTGCTCAGGTGAAGTCTTGACAGTTCTTCTTTCCAGTGGAGCAGAGAACAACTTTTGCTGTAAATCAAAGAACACATAGCTGGGGAATGATAAGCGCTGCACAGAGAAACCACTTGTGGATCTAAGAAATTCATTCATTGTTCTCATACCTCTTGGATAACGTGCTATCACCTTCGGATTTTACACTGCAGCATCTAGGCACATTAAAGTGCTTAGAAGCCATTCTAATAAACACGGGGAACCTCGGGATGATGATGATTGGTCGAATAGATTCTTTTCACTAGAAAATTAAGATGTCAGCATCATTTGTTGATGAGGTCTGATTAAAACGGAGAAATAGACTGAAAGCAAAGTCTTTATTGAATTCAAATCCAGTGGAGGAAACGAAATATCGACCGATGAAAGGAAGACTTTTGCTCACATTTGAACTCAACTAGCATAAGCTTGACCATGGGGAAACATTTTTGGGTTAAACCCTGGTTTTCATCATGAAATCTGCAACACTTAACAAACACACAGGTAAATGATGCTCAGATGATACTAAATGTAGAAGGAAAGCATCCCACACACCACCACCACTAACCTAAATCTTTGATTCAAAGCAGGATGAATCCATGGTCTCCTATTATTTACATCAAATTCTTAGCATCTGATTGTTGCAGCAGAAATTGAGACTCATCATTTTGGTGAGTGTGGGCAAACTGAAGCCTCCATTTCCTGTTCCTAGCTGAGAGGAGTTAAAACTTACCAAGTTTTGATATCTGTGGATCTGGAAGTTTACCGTCTTAATGTCACGTTGCTGAGACGGAGTCTACCGTGTACAGAAAGTCTGTAATAATATTGTTTCGTCATATGAACCTATCAGCACTGTAAATTATGGAAGTGTAGCGAGCGAGTCTCTCTGCTTTTGCACCACAGAGTCTTTGTAGCAAATGTGATACAAATTAACATGTAATTTCTTTATTTCAGTGAACACTGGCAACTACTTCATGGTTAAGACTTTAAATGGTTAATATCTTTGCTAAGAAAAAAAGAGGCAAAATAGCAGATTAATTGATTCAAATATAAAGATAAACATTAGCAGCATGCCTTGTGCAGCTCTGTGGACTATTCTTTGAACCAAACTGGCAGCTCTGCCACATAAGAAATGCAGGAGATGGGACTGAAATTTGGGGTTATGAATGAGCAATTCAGTACAAAAACATAAATGAATAAGAATAGATCTAGTTGTGGTCAGATGGTTGTGTCATCAGGAGAGCAGAGGGCACAAATCAACAAATCAAACTGTGCGTCTGCACAATCTGTGTCAATTAGTGTGAGAGCACGGCTGCCTGTTTGGTATCAGAGCAGGCTTACAGCTTTGTGCATTTGTGTGCCCACACACGTGTGTTTACGCACATTCCTGCAGCCAACAGCTGTTCAAGGCTTTTAAAGCTGGGAGGAAAAAAACAACAGGAGTGAATGTCGGTATACACTCGGCTCATTCTCTCTTAATCTTCTACAAATCAACATGAGGTCAGCTGTTACTTCTTCACTGAAAGCTTAATTACTTATTGGGTACATTTGGAGATTTGACTTTGGATTCGTGACTTACTGTTCTCCAACAATTGTGCTTCCTCTGCACAAAGATCCCCCCCAAATCTTGTTTTTATTCATGAGCTGTGGGTTTTGAACAAAAGCCTGACTCTGTGCTCTATAGCTGTGTTTTTTTCTTGTCTTTTTCCTGAAATGCGTTATTTAACAGCTTTATTGAGTATGTGCTTGCTTCTGAATTTAAAACGTGAGTTTTTGTTTAGTGAAAAAAAAGCTTTTTTAGGGGGCAGTACATTTTATTGAGATAATCTTTAACTGATCTATTAAAAAAAAGACATTAAGCCACCATTTAAATCAAATAAAACAATGTTTGTCGAAATGTATTGATTATTTCACTCCTGCATACAACATCTGCATCTGTACGGCAAACGATTAACGATCATGTTTGTTTGAGTGGGTGGCAGCAGCTCTGCCACGGTCAGTAGTTTCCCCCACTGGGACCACGGGTGCTTCAAACTGATGCACTTGTGCTCCTTCACAAACGGCATATGCAGCGTAAAATCCAGCTGCTGGGAGTAATGCGAGCTCGCGTCTCCTCTGCTGGCATCCATGCAGATCGTAACATCACAGTGTAATCAAGGAGAGAGACGTCAGCTATTGTTATGCAAGTGAGACGCTGTCGAGAGAGGCTTGGACCTCCTCCCGGGTTCCACTGCCCGTCGTAGCTTTTCAGCGGCACGGGTCGAGTGTCACGAGGAGTTTCTGCTATAGAGCGATCTCGTGATGAGGTTGATGTGTTGATGTGCTGCTTTTGGTTTTTTTTGCTTTCCACACGTGCGTATGTCATTTCTAACAAGACCTAATGTACGAGGCCATTTGCCCAGGGTGTCAGTAAATGTGACTGTTACAGCTGTGGAAGGTAATGAAGGTATCGTTCACTGTGTTATTAGTGAGTGACAAAAGCCAAGACGCATCCCCCTCTCCTGCTAATGGATCCCAGCAGTTATTGAATAAATCATCCTGCGTCGTGTCCGTCTCTTGCTCTTATTCGCTTTCTCGATTCCCTTTCCTTTCTCTCCTTTCGCTTTTCATTACTGCTTCCTTTCATCATTTCAGTCTCTTAACCTTCTCTTCTTTTCTTGTCCCCCAAATTCGCGTTGCCCATTTTCTCCGTCGCTCTCCCTCGAACCTGATGCTCATATTTGCTTTCTCATTACACCTCCATCTGCTCTTGTTCCCGCCACCCTCCTGCTCTCTGTTTTTGCTTAAGTTCTCACTCGCTGTCTCTTTTTCCCTCTGCTTCCCACAGATGTGGAAGAAGAAGATATTCCTGGTCATCATTGCCATCAGTACCATCAGTCTTCTGCTGCACCATGGGGGTCACTTGACCTGGTGAGTGACCCACGATATGAAAACACATTAAATATCCGTTATTCTTCTATAAATCCATATGGCCCTTGTTACAGTGAAAAATCCTGACAGTCGTTGTGCCACACTTTTGCCTCATAGGCAAATTAATAGAGAGGGGCTTATTATTAAAGTCAAGCATAGAAACCTTGAGCGCCTAAGCACCGCCATGCTGGTCGAGGGACCAATTATAAAAGTAGAGTGCTGTAGACTTTTGACAGCCCAGCATTTTGCTCTCTTTCAACTTCCTATTCTCAACGTCTTTATCGTCTCACTTCACTGAACGCTCTTGTTTCCACATCCCACCTCTTATCATTGACTCTGCAGTGAGCACGGCATTCTTTATATTACTTTATTCAGTGATATGTACCAAACACCTCAGATTTTAGGAGAATTTAGAACTGGTATCCTGCAGTGCTTACAGCAAATGCATTAACTGCACATGTCAGCTGTTTTCCACCACATCCCAGAAGTTGAAGTGCATAATTTCAACTTTAATTTAGTGGGTTGAACAACTGCATAAAAATGTGAGAATCTAAAGCATTTCTTTTAACATAATCTCTTCATATCAGTGGGTCAAAAGTAATTGGACAAATTAAATAACTGAAAATAAGATGTTCATTTCTAATACCTGGTTGAAAACCCTTTGATGGCAAGGACAGTCTGAAGGTTTGAACTCATGGACATCACCAGGTTTCCTCCTTTTTAATGCTCTGCCCGGCCTTTACTGCAGAGCAGTCTTTCAGTTGCTGTTTGCTTGTGGACCCTTCTGACCGAAGTTTAGTCTTCAACAGTGAAATGCATGCTCAGCTGGGTTAAGATCAGGTACCTGACTTGGCCATTCAAAACTATTCCACTTCATCCACATCATCAATAAATACTAGTGCCACTGGCCCAAGCCAGCATACTCCCTCTGCCATGTTTTGCAGATGATGTGCTATGCTTTGGATCATGAGCCGTTCCACGCCTTCTCCATACTTTTTTCTTGGCATCCTTCAGAAAAATGTTGATCTTGGTTTCATCTGTCCAAAGAATGTTTTTTCCAGAACTGTGCTGGCTTTCTTAGATATTTTTTTAAGCAAAGTCCAATCTAGCCTTTCTATTCTTGTTCTGAAGGCAGGACTGTGATGCGGTTTTCTGCCTCGCCACTAGAGGGCGCGGCCGTTTTGTGAGTAATGTTTGACTGGGATGGAAAATGGTGTTCATGAAGGCAGTGTGAATCACAAGTTATGCTCGGGAGCAGTTTATGTGGGTTCAATGAGAGTGTGCGTCCATAAGACTGGTGAGTTACAGGATATTTCTTGTGTAAGAAGGATAGCCTGTATGTTTTCTTGCTCTGGACGTCCTCGCACCTTGCGTTGAACCCTCTGTATTTACTTTCATGCAGTCTTTCACGCAGTGTTGTTCACTTGGTTGGCTGTTGTGAAGCTGTTTCTCTTCACCATGCAAATGATTCTACGATCATCCACCAAAGCTGTCTTCATGGACGTCCAGGTCTTTTTGCATCGCTGAGTTCACCAGTGCTTTCTTTCTTTCTTTCTTTCTTTGAATGGACCAAACTGTAGACTTTGCCACTCCTAATATCGTAGCACTTCTTCGGAAAGGCTTTATTCTGCTTTAACAGTTTAAGGATAGCTTGTGTCACCTGCATGGAGAGCTCCTTTGACTGCATGTTGTCTGTTCACAGCAAAATCTTCCAAATGCAAGAACCGCACCTTAAATAAAGTCCAGGTCTTTTATCTGCTAAAAAAAGGTTATGACATAACAAAGGAACTGCCCACAGCTACTGATGAAACAGCCTTTGAGTTAATTGTCCAATTATTTTTGGTCCCTTTAAAAAGAGTTTGACCGCAAAAAAAAAACTAAACTTGTGTCCTTGTCCAAATATATATGGACCTAACTGTATGTATATAGTATGAACGTCTTCATTAAAAAATGATAAACATTTGCCACCAAGATCTTTTGATAAAGTTCATGAATAATTCTGCCAATAAAAACTTAATGTACATGACACTTTGAAAAGTAATAATTCGTACTATCATCTGTGTGTTCCCTGAATGTCAGTCCACTATACAATAAAAACAGACACACTGTATATTATATCATATATTGCATTTCTGGCCTCCTCTCCTCTCACGGCTATATCTTTCTACCTTTCCCTTCAGTCCCATTTATGGTTACTATTTTTGCCTTCCCGTTGTGTTGCTTCTGTTCTGTACAACACATTAGTTTCTTCCATTATCTGTGTGCAGCTTTGTCTCTAATGTCACCATTTTATCCAGAACAGCTGCTCTTTGTGCTGTTTAAGCTAATGCAGCTTTAAGTAAACTGTTGTTGTTTTTTGCCACCAGGACCATGGATGCCTTCCACCTCGGTTGTCCAGCCCTGCACTCTCACCCTTACTCCGGCCTGAAGCCTAAGCACAGTAACGTGGTTTTCCTGAAAACCCACAAAACAGCCAGCAGCACCATGCAGAATCTGCTCTTCCGCTTTGCAGAGCGCAACAACCTGACGGTGGCGTTACCCATACAAGCCTGCGGTCACCAGTTCTGCTACCCGCGATCCTTCACAACTCACTCTGTGCATCAGCACACGCTACCGCCAAACATCGTCACCAACCACATGCGCTTCAATAAGGCTGAGCTGAAACGACTGATGCCAAATGATACGATATACGTCACGATCCTGAGAGAGCCTGGCTCCATGTTTGAGTCCTTGTTCAGTTACTATAACCAGTACTGTCAGAGTTTCAAGAGGGTCCCTAATGGTTCACTGGAAGCTTTCTTAGATGAACCCTGGCGCTACTACAAACCAGAGGAGAACTACTCCATGTATGCACGTAACACCTTGACCTACGACTTGGGCGGAGACAAAGATCGCCCAGCGAAAGATGTCTCTTATGCAAAAGCTTTTGTAGCACAGGTAGAGCGAGTGTTCTCCCTGGTGATGATCTCTGAGTACTTTGATGAATCTCTGGTTCTACTTCGACACCTCCTTTCCTGGGATCTGGATGACATTTTGTATGTTAAGCTCAACATGCGGACGCCAAGTTCCAAGCAGGGCCTGACTGATGATCTTCGCAAAAAGATCCGTGCCTGGAATTCCTTAGATGCCCAGCTCTATGATCACTTTAACGCCTCACTGTGGCGTCAAATCTCTGCTGTGGGTCCAGCCTGTGTGGCGAGGGAGGTGCGCCTCCTTCGTGAGGCCCAGGAGAAGCTGATGAAAAGGTGTTTCGGTGAAGGCATGCCGCTTGTTCGTTCAGCTGCTGAAATCAAAAACAAGGAGCTCCGCCCCTGGCAGCCTAGCGGCAAAGTCGACATAGTCGGTTATGACCTCCCTGTAAATATTACCCAAAGCTTCTCGAGCCAGGACCAGGAGCTCTGCCTGAGGCTCATCATGCCGGAAGTCCAGTACACAAAGATGCTCCTACGTTCCCAGTTACTGCGGTACCGTCTGACCTCTCAGGCTCGGCCTCAGCAGCAGTCACACTCCTTCCAGCAGCCTGTACGCACAACCCTGCTTAGACATCCAGCCCACCGCAGCCAGCCACCAGTGCCTGCTGCTGCAACCCCTGCCTCAGGAACTGGAATCAACTCAAAGACTGCTGCAGGAACTCGAGGTCGGACAAATAAGCAAGGGGCAAAACCCTCACAAACTCAGTCCTCATAGGCTGGAAAACTCCTCATAGACTTGAAAATTATCCGAGTGCCCAACAAACTGCATTGTTTAACTCATCGTGACCCATGAGACTACGATTGTTGGCTGGTCTGGGGTTTTTGGGGGAATAAGGCTATCCTTGAGAAATGCCTGGGTTTATCTTGAATTAGAGTATCCCCTCTTCCTTCTATGTGTGTTTGGTTTGACATGAAAATAAATTAGGAAAAAGGGGATTGGACATACTTGGACTTGAATTTTAATCTTTCTCCTTTCCGATCCATCAGACCTTATCAGGGTGGGAAGGCACAAAAGCTGGAGGAACACTGGGAGGGAAGTTTAACCCAGCTGTACACCTCTGCAGCCCTGACTGCAGTGGATATGAGAGGGTTTCGGATGAAAGTGGTTCTTTGAAGGAAATCTGTTTCATGCGACTGGGAGTCAATAGAGAAGTGGCGATATCGGGTCTATTGTGCAGCACAGAGTGTGCTTTGTGTGTATCACACTGGGATAGTATCATGTTACTTGTGTTTGTTCTCCGTTTCTCAAGCTCTCATTCGCTCTCTCTCTTTCCTAACATATGCCACTTAAAGTCCTTGAGGAGACATAATGACATAAAGGGATCGGCTGTCAGGCCTCCGAAGAGCCTCCTAAGAGGCCAGACAGACACTGAGATCAACTCACAACCATTAACGTGACAGCACAAAACAACTCTTCCTTCTTTGGCCTTTTTTTTTCTTACTGACTCTAGAGTTGAAATCAGTGAAGGGACGGGGGGATAAAAAGGCCAGAGAGATGGAGACCTTATCCTGAGGGTAAGCCTAAAAACTGCTGGATACTCAATTTGGCCATACAAGTCCCACAGAGACTGAGCACATGTATGAAGCCTGTGTCTCGTCAGCTTTTTGACCTCCCTTTCTTCCTTCTAAGGTCCTTCTCTGCCTTCACCACCCTGTCAATACTGCTGTTGCCCTCTGGGCAGGCTCTCCATCCACCAAGAAGCACTAACATCTTTTTTTCTCCAACCCCTGGTACTTCATCGAACAGCCAGACAAGATCACACCTCACCTTGTGGAGACTCAGTTAAGGTGATGCTTCTGGATGTGGGGATTTACTGTAAAGCTTGGGCGTTATTGCAATAAGATCTCCAGGCCCTTCGCCCTGAATATGAAAGGCATGGATTTAATAACCTACCAGCAACCCTGTGCCGCATATACAATAATTAAACACACTGGCACAAATAAAAACATCAAACTCCTTGATGGGACAAAGACTTGAAGCCTGTGGATCGTGGCGCTTGAATATTTAATCATCTCCTCTCACAGGCCGCCTATGGCCCGGGTTCTAGGGTTACACGGCTGTACGTTGTCATTAAGGACATGTTCAACCAGGTGAAAGCTGCTCAATCCGAACCCTGAAGCACAGAAAGACAAAGGGAGAGCGTTAATGCACGATCCTTAAAGCCTCTTAAAGCAGCTGGGCCGACTGGGGTCTTAAAGAGTCTTCATTTATCTCGGCTGTGATCCATTTTTAATGCTTTCTGCTCATATTTAATGTGTCATTTATGTTCTTTTATTACTCTGGTGATCGGTAGGGTGCTGCTGAGGAAGCGAAGGAACAATATAGTTGTGTGAGAGTATGTGTTTGAGCCAAGAAATGTCTCCCGGCTCATGTCGGGGGTTTTTTTTGGTTTTTTTTTTTTTTGGCCTGCAAGATTTATTAAACTATGTATTATTTATGATCGGGACTTAAAGAGCCCCATTACTGTATTTTAACTGGTATTTTTCATGAATCACTGGATGAAAACTGCTTTTCCATCGATTTGGTGGTTCGTGGTGTGCACGGCTTACCACTTCAGGCAGCAGAGATGGAACAAGGCATGTGGAAACGGTTTAAAATATTAATTCTGTACATGTTATACATAATGCAAAACTACAACAAACTGCACATCGAACCTACTTTAGTGGCTTCAGAATTAATCTCCCATTCAGCAGAGCTAAGTACTTAACCACACTACGTGTTTGTGGTTTGAGTGTGTCAAACCACAGGTAACAATAATAATAAAATAGACACACACAGCTGCTGCTCAGAAATAAAAAGCAATGAAGCCATCAGGCCACAGACGCGAGGAGAGGATGCACGGTTCTATGAAGTAGCTGTGAGAATCTGAATGTGTGCAATGCATGATAGTTTTTATTTATTAGACATGTGAAATGTCTTCAGATATGTGTAAAAACCTTTTCAGGTTACATGCACTGTAAAACATGGGCAAACATGAAGAAGGCTGTGGTTTTGTATTTTCTTGCTCCCATGAAAAGACCAAAACCAGCAATATGTAAATTGGTCTGCCAACTTCCTGCTGTGAAAGCACACCACAACTCCCTAAAGAAGGCTCAGTACTGAGCAAAAGTCTAGAGTCACCCTGTATTTCTTTATATGTTGTTAGAAAAATGGGAAATAGGTACGACGATTTATTGAAACATATGTATACAAACATGGTAATGCAGCGCGTACAATTGTAATGAGCTTGAAAGTCGGCGTTGGTAGGACCACCTTTATTCTTCAGCACAGTCTGAACTCTCTTAGGCAGCTTTCTTGTTATTGCTTTAAGTAGTCTTCAGGAATAGTTTTCCAGGCTTCTTGAAGGACATTCAAAACATTCGCTGCTGTAATGCAGCTCCCAACCATGAAAGAGCCTTCACCGTGTTTTACAGACACCAGAACTGCTGCCACTGATTTTCAGTCTTGTGTAGTTTGGCACACCTCAACCATCTTTCCACTGAGACCATTTCTGATGAAGCTTCAGTGAACATCAGATGCATGAGCTGAAGGTCCAGATCCATCTCTCAGGTCCTGTGTCAGGTCTTTGCTGGATTCTTTCCTGTTTCTTAAGGACATGATCTTCAGATACTGTTAATCTGTTGTAGATAGCTGTTTTTGGCCTGACACCCCTTTGGTTCTCAATTTGTTCAGACACAATCCATTAAAACTGACCAGCTACAAGCACAGGACTGAAAAGCAGCAATTGTCCAAAGAAAAGCTTTGAAAGAAGCTCAGAAAGCCTGGAGAACTATTGCTCTTGCATCATTTTAAAGCCATAGGAAGGAAAAGAGATGAAGATTGGCTCCAAACATTTGCACAGTACTGTACAGTAGTACAGTTTGACTCAGTGAGTGTGTTTCAGATATTTTTGGACAACAAAGGCACTGGAGACATCAAACTTGATTGATTATATGTCGTAAGAGCAATGTGTTGTTGGCTTTTTCAGTAACATACGGAGTATCAGCAGCCTTATCCTTTACCAAAGCATGGCTTCTCAAAATCTTTGGGTCCTGGGACTCCTTAAAGAGGAGAATATTTTCCAAACATCCACCTCCAATCCTAACACCGGGTTAGCTAATTTGGATTAAGCATTAGATGAAAAGCTGACTGACTCACGCATGTGTTCACTAACTCAATAGTTGGCTAGTAAATCCAGCTTTGCATTAGCAAGACCACTTTGACTCTTGGAGTTTCTACTGGTCCAAAATAAAGGACAATAAATAGCTAATAGCATAAATTTATCTACTTAGCAATTCCTTACTTGCTAAGATGTTGTTACTCCGGACCTCTGAGACGTCCTCAGATCCCACTCTGCGATCCACGGCTGTAAAGGAGCTGGCAGCTGATGCTGACTTTCATCATTTTCCCCCAAACAAACAAAAACCATGACTGTGAATGCAACTCCGAAATTGCTTAAAGCACCTGTGAATCTGCTAATATTAAACAAATGATACATTATCAAAAGTATTTGCATTAATTTTAAATATAGACCAAAAAAAATGAATGAAAATTGTTTTATGTATTTATTTATTTATTGAACTGAACCATGTTTGTTTTTCATGCTTTGCAAAAAGGACGAAAAACCTGGTGTTAGATTTGATCTAACCGATAAAGACCGACTGACAGTTTGGAATAAAAAAAAGTAATTATCCTCTTTCTTTTTCAGTGAAACTATACATTTATACATATTTCTGCAATTTTGGACACTTTGGGTCTCTACAGAGGTTTCTGATAGTCGAATGTAGTTTTTTTTCTTTTACGTGAACTTTCAACGTATGTTTGCATCCGTTAAATAAAAAATTAAACGCGAGCATCTGCAAACGGTCTTCTTCAGATTTCTATATCTGACTGTGATTCAGATGAAGAACGTGTTTCCTGTCGACCGTTCATTTGAGAGCCTGCTCCGAGTGGCTGTAAGCGCTCTTTTGATTGTACAAGACGTTTGCTCGGCTGTTCTGCTTCGTGTCAGAGTGTTTCACTAATAGTCCTGCTGTCATGTCTAAAGTGTCGGCTATTCTTTCTTGGGTTATGCCAGAGGGGCTGTGAAAATGGTACGCTAAAAAACAAAACAAAAAAACCTCATCATCTCCACATTAGCTGGCCCCTCTTTTCTTGTGAGGGAGAAATGTGAAGCTGCTTTAAAAAAAAACAAAAAAACTGGAACATGAAAGCCTTGTGGGATCAGAGCATTTTTTTTGTGTGTACCTGCTGAGCTTTTATGTGTCACAGGGAAGTAAACATAAACTGCATTGTTGCCCACTGTCCTCTTTGATGTGCACATTATGTTTTGGGAGGGGGTTATCTGTGAACTGAGAAGAATGAGCGAGTTTTTTGTTTTTTTTTTGTAATTCTGTGAATATTTGGATAATGTTGGGTGGGTGATACAGCTCAGAAGACAATCAGAGCTAGGGGCCCCAAAGCTTTGTAATGATGGTTGATGAGCAGGATGAATAAAGTTTGAACGATTTCAATTCACCTGCGAGTGAGTGTCTTTTGACTCTGCCGCTTTTTCGGTGAGATTTATTCAGATATGCGGACACTTGAATTATTCTGGATATCACAGCAACACACACACACACTCTTCATCAGCGGTGAAACATAACACACGGTGACAGTCGCTCAATTAAGATTCAGATACTAAACGGTTTCTATTTCCCTGAAGACTGAAACCAGACTTTTCAGGCTGCAATCAGTCTTTGGAAATTACCTCCAGTTAGCACGCCCGCCTAAATGAATGAACAAATTGCTTCTCAGAAGGACAAAAACAAAATGCAGAGCGGCGTGTGTTTGATATGACTGCGATTGAAGCAATCACCATGCTGTGTCCCACTCCGCCGGCCTGTCATTATGGCCTGCTGTTGCCATGGCTTTGGCTGCTAAGAGGTGGCCCTCCGGAGTCTCGTCGCTTCTCTCGTTTTTTTCTCTAACACGGCGGCAGCCCTTCTGTTTGTTTCTCTATCATAACCTGCCATAACCTGGCCTCCAACCATGCGCATAATTACAGTAATTATGCTAACTGTAATAATAAAAACATAGAATGAAATGACCACAGGAGAAATATATTTCCTTCACCACTCCATCTACTTTTTTCTAAAGCAAACTTATTGTCAGAGGATGTGCAGCGAGGGCCTATAACAGCTGTAAACAGCTGTTTAACAAATGCTCCGCTCTCTTTATGTGTCAGATGTATTTATGCCTGAGCAGCTGGGGTCTCTGATGCGTGAAATTCACTTCAGCTTATATAAATGACTCTATTAATTGAGAATGTACCCTAATGTATTTGGCGGATTGTTTCATTACCTCTGCCAAGGAGGTCGTGTTTTTGGTAGCATGTCAGCCTGTAAACATGGTAGCTCGAAACGTTTTGAAGTAATCCTGATAAAACTTTGTAGGGGTGTAGACTCGGGTCAGGTTAGTCATCCATTAAAATGTCAACTTAATGATTTATTGATTGAAAATTACAAAAATCCTTATAATTAAGAAATTATATTTCTTAAATGTGTAAGTGTATTGTCAACATTTAGAAAGGACTTGTAAAATATTCAATCCAATTCAGTTTTATTTATACAGAACACAACAACAGTCACCCCAAGATGCTTTATATTTTAAGGTAGACCCTACAATAATACATACAGAGAAAAATTATATGACCCCCTATGAACAAGCACTTTGGCGACAGTGGGAAGGAAAAAGTCCTTTTTAACAGGAAAAAACCTCCAGCACAACCAGGTTCGGTGAGGACTAGCCATCTGTTGGGCGTGTGAGTACAGTATACAGGACAAAGACACACTGTGGAAGAGAACCAGAGATGAATAATGATTAAATGCAGGCAAGTGTATAAACAGAGTGATACTGTACTATGAGGTCTTTAAGAAAAGATGGGCTATGATTCAGGAGCTTGTATGTGAGGAGCAGGATTTTAAATTCAATTCTGGATTTAACAGGGAGCCACCACCACCCCCCCC